GGGAGAGGGAGAAGCAGGTTTCCCTCTGAGCAGGGAGCCCGATGGGGGGCTCGATCCCAGGCCCCTGGGATCATGACCTGAGCCGAAGGCAGACGCTTAACTGACTGAGCGACCCAGGCGCCCCTGTGATCTTTAACTCTGAAACTGAGTGGCTTGTGGAGGATCCTTGGAGCCGACCTTCTCTGTGTCTCTGCACGATCTCAGCTTTGTGCCGGCTGTCGTACTGTGTTGCTTTCCTTTGTTTTTTTTGTTTGTTTTAATATATATTTTTTAAAGATTTTTGTTTATTTGTTTTAGAGAGAGAGAAAGTGGGGGGGAGGGGCAGAATCTCAGGCAGACTCCAGGCTGAGTGCAGGGAGCCTGATGCAGGGCTCAATCCTGTGACTCCGAGATCATGACTTGAGCCAAAATCAAGAGTCAGACGCTTAACCAGCTGAGCCACCCAGGTGTCCCTATTTGTTTGAGTTTTGGGGATTTTTTTGTTTGTTTTTTGGTTTTGGGGTTTTTTTGGTGGGCAACAAAGCAAAGTTTATTAAGCAATAGTAAAGTGATAGTACAAAGCCCCCGAAGAGGGAGGGGGACCTGAGAGGGTTGCCCGGTTTGAGTTTTTGACCAAAGTTGTCTCCATGCCCAGATTGCTTCCCTAATCTTCTGTTTGTCATAAAGATCATGTTTTGGTGTTTCAACGTTCATTTAATAATGTCAGGACTTTTCTCCAATGTGTGATTTTTATGAAGCAGCTTATCGAAAGAGTTAAGACTACAGTACGTTGGCTGTATTTCATTTCTCTTCATTAGAGTTCCTTTGCATGAGACAAATCTGAAAACCACATTTTAAAACTGTATCCTGTCCTTTGGCCAATGGGAGAAAAGAACCAAACCAATGGAATATTACACTTTTTAGGTTTTGAACCATATTAATATATTGCTTATTCACAAAATTTAATAAAATTGTATAGACTGAAGATTTTTTTTTAAAGATTTATTTATTTTGGGGGTACCTGGGTGGCACAGTCAGTTAAACATCTGCCTTCAGCTCAGGTCATGATCCCAGGGTCCTGAGATCAAGCCCCACATCGGGCTCCCTGCTCAGTGGGGAGCCTGCTTCTCTGTCTCCCACTCCCATTGCTTGTGCTCACACTCTCTCACTCTCTCTCTGTCAAATAAGTAAATAAAATCTTGAAAAAGAAAAAGATTGATTTATTTTAGAGAGCGAGAACACAAGTAGGGGGAGGAGCAGAGGGAGAGGAAGAGAGAGAATCCCAAGCAGAGCCTGATGTGGGGTTTGATCTGACAACCCCAAGATCACGACCTGAGCCAAGATCACGACCCAGGCGCCCCTAGATTGAAGATTTTTAAATCTCAACTACCTAAAAATTTTTAAGGGTGGTGGAGCAGAGGGAGAATCTTAAGTAGGCTCCAGGCCCAGTGCATACCCTGTCGTGAGGCTCGATCTCACAACCTTGAGATCATGACCTGAGCTGAAATCAAGAGTCAGACGCTTACTAACTGAGCTACCCAGGCACCTCTCAACTATATAAACATTTAACAAAGAAACAAACATGAAGAAAAATTACTAAAATATTAATTAGCATTGGTTGTTAGGATGGGAATACAGGGGGCTTTTTTTTTTTCTGTTTTTCTGAATTTTCTACATGGTTAGCTATGAGCATGGATAACCAGTTTTTTATGAGACTTTGAATTTTACATTTGGACATAAAATCTTCTAGGTATTTTAGGTGGTTAACTATAATTGTAACACCTCTGTTGTAGCATCTTCAAACCTTGCTTTTTTTTTTTTATAATAATATCCATTTCTTACCCCATGCCCTCTTCTGCCTCACCTTTCTTGCTCACTCACTCACAAACCCCGTACATTACTTGTTTGTTGTTTTTCACCTTCATTCAGTTTCTTTCGCCCTATGCTTCCTATTGGCTCTTGATCCAAGTTGTTTTTAGCCTACAAGCCCAAAGGCCCAATTGATAAATGAGTTGTAGCCATTTGGCAAGATACTACTCTGCCAACCAGAGAACTGACTGAAAGCTTTACTCTAGGAAAAAACTCTGAGATAGACCTTGGAGCCTGGCTTCTGTATCTCCAGTTTAGGCCAAAAGCAACATTTGAACTTTGAAGTTTTTTTCATACTCAGACACAGCTTTTGGCTTAAATATATAGGGTTCTAACTTGAATATATTATAAAATATTTAATATGTTTTCTAAGATGGGCATGGACATTCATAGGTGTTAAAGCTGGATACTGCTTATACTCCACTCTGTTAACATTGTAGAAAACCTTTGCATTAAATATAAGAAATTTTAATAGACACATGGATCAGTGGAACAGAACAGAGAGCCCAGAAGTAAACCCACGATTATATGGTCAATTAATCTATGGCAAAGGAGGCAAGGATATACAATGAGGGAAAAATGGTTTCTTCAACAAATCGTGCTGGGAAAGCTGGACAGCTCCATTGACAAGAATGAAACTGGACCACTTCCTTATGCCACACACAAAAATAAACTCAAAATGGATTAAAGACCTAAATGTAAGACCTGTCATAAAATTCCTAGAAGGAGGGGCGCCTGGGTGGCTCAGTTGGTTAAGCGACTGCCTTCTCTGATCCCAGAGTCCCAGGATCGAGTCCCGCATCGGGCTCCCTGCTCGGCGGGGAGTCTGCTTCTCCCTCTGACCCTACCCTCTCTTGGGCTCTCTCTCTCACTCTCTCTTTCTCTCAAATAAATAAATAAAATCTTTAAAAAATAATAATAAATAAAATTCCTAGAAGGAAACATAGGCAGTAAGCTCTTTAGCATCAGCCATAGAAACATTTTTCTAAGTATGCCTCCTTTGGCAAGGGAAACAAAAGTAAAATTAAACTATTGGGACTACACCAAAATAAAAAACTTTTGCACAGCAAAGAAAACAATAAAACAAAAAGATAACTTACCAAGTGGGAGAAGATATTTGCAAATGATATATTCAGTAAAGGGTTTGTATCCAAAATATATAAAGAACTTATACAACTCAACACCAAAAAAACAAATAACCCAGTTAAAAAATTGGGCAGAAGGGGGCACCTGAGTGGCTCAGTTGGTTAAGTGCCTGCCTTCAGCTCAAGTCATATTCTCAGGGTCCTGGGATTGAACCCTATGTCAGACTCCCTGCTGAGCTTATCCCTCTCCCTCTCCCCCTCCTCATTCTCTCTCTCTCAAATAAATAAATAAAATCTTTTTAAAAAGGGGGAGAGCAAAAGACATGAATAGACATTTTTCCAAAGAAGACAAACAGATGGCCAGCAGATACATGAAAAGATGTTAAGCAGCACTCATCATCAGGAAAATGCACACCTCACACCTGTCAGAATGGTTAGAATAAAAAACACAAGAAATAACAGGGTGTTGGTGAGGATGTGGAGGAAAAAGAACCCTCATACACTGTTGGTGGGAATGCAAGCTGATACAACCACTGTGGAAAACAATATGAACATTCCTCAAAAAATTAATTACAGCATTATTTACAATAGCCAGGATATGGAAGCAACCCAAGTGTCCATCCATAGATGAATGGATAAAGACAGTGTGTGTGTGTGTGTGTGTGTGTGTTTATACACATACATATTATGGAATGTTACTCAGCCATAAAAAAAAAAAAATTAAGTCTTGCCATTTGCAACAACAGGGATGAATCTAGAGGATATAATCCTAAATGAAATAAGTTAGAAAAAGACATACCAGGGCGCCTGGGTGGCTCAGATGGTTAAGCGTCTGCCTTCGGCTCAGGTCATGATCCCAGGGTCCTGGGATCGAGGTCCGCATCGGGCTCTCTGCTCCTTGGGAGACTGCTTCTCCCTCTGCCTCTCTCTCTGTCTCTCATGAATAAATAAATAAAAATCTTTAAAAAAAAAAAAAAAAAGACATACCATATGATTTCAGTCATATGTGGAATTTAAGAAAGAAAACAAGTGAACAAAGAAAAAAGATGCAGAAAAAAACGGACTCTGAAATATAGAGAACTGGCAGTTGCCACATGGAAAGTGGGGGTGGGGGGTCAAATAGGTGAAGGGGTTAAGAGCACACTTACCATGATGAGCACTGAGAAATGTATAGAATTGCTGAATCATTATATTGTACACATGAAACTAACACTGTATTTTATTATACTTGAATTTAAAACAAATCTTAAAAAATTTTTAAAAAGAGGGGCGCCTCAGTGGCTTAGTCAGTTAAGCGACTGCCTTCGGCTCAGGTCATGATCACGGAGTCCCAGGATTGAGTCCCACATCAGGCTCCCCAATCAGTGGGGAGTCTGCTTCTCCCCCTGACCCTCCTCCATCTTGCGCTCTCTCCCTCACTCTCTGTCTCTCAAATAAATAAATACAATCTTTTAAAAACAAATAAATAAAAATTTTGAAAAAGAAAGTTTACTTGAAAGTAGACAATCCTGAATAAATAGCTTGAGAAATAACTGATCACTTTTTCTTTTTAAGATTTTATTTGGGGGCACCTGGGTGGCTCAGTCATTAAACGTCTGCCTTTGGCTCAGGTCACAATTCCAGGTCCTGGGATCGAGTCCCACATCAGGCTCCATGCTCAGTGGGAAGCCTGTTCTCCCTCTCCCACTCCCCTGCTTGTGTTCCCTCTCTCACTGTGCCTCTCTCTGTCAAATAAATAAATGAAATCTTAAAAAAATAATCTTTATTAGTTTATGTTAGAGAGAGTGTGTGCAAGCAGGCAAGCAGGGGGAGGGGCAAAGGGGGAGGGAGAGGGACAAACAGACTCCGCGCTGAGTGTGAGCCCCATGAGGGGCTCAGTCTCACAACCCTGAGATCATGACCTGAGCCAAAATCAGAGTCCGATGCTTAACCAACTGAGCCACCCAGGAGCCCTGATAACTGATCACTTCTGCAATATTTTCCTAGTGCATGCTGAGTAGAAACCAGTTAATAATGTGTCTTAACCTTTCACTGTATGGTTTTCAAAAGTAGTAGTCTTTTTTTTTTTTTTTAAAGATTTTATTTATTTTTCAACAGAGAGAGAGAGAGACAGCGAGAGAGGGAACACAAGCAGGGGGAGTGGGAGAGGGAGAAGCAGGCTTCCCGCCGAGCAGGGAGCCCGATGTGGGACTCAATCCCAGGACCCTGGGATCATGACCTGAGCCAAAGGCAGACGCTTAACGACTGAGCCACCCAGGCGCCCCTCAAAAGTAGTAGTCTTATTTGGCTTTGAAGTGATTCCTTGGTTTATATTCTAAAAGGTCCTGTTTTTGTTAAGGATGGGCTATATAAACATAAGCGATAACTTACTACATTTGCATAGTTGTCATCTTGCTACCTTCCCTATTTTAAAATAGTTATCAGAATACTATAGCTTGAGAAATGTATTTTCATTTAGTGCTCATTTGCCATAGACTCTTTAGTACTTTCAGGCCAAGCTCCACCTCTCATTGACACTGCATGGAGAATGATCCTGTCTAATCTAGTAGGAGGTTGGGGTGAGGGAGACATGTCTCTGAGAACTTGAGGGACTAACTCAAGAGTCACTAAAATGATACTACCCAGAGGATCTCACTGTGGAAAGCCAAAGCGGAAACTGTGTAGAGAGCAACCATTTCCAGTCCCCATGACACTAGGAGGTGAGACGGAGTTTAAGTCTCTAACCCCAGTTTTCTCAGTTCTCTTCTCCAAAGGAGTCCAGGGAAGCTCAGCAGGGAACGTTTATCTAACTGTTCCGTGCAGGAAGCTTACCTGCAGTCTCCACAGTGATGAGTGGTCCTCCCAAAGCCTCCAGCCTAGGGATCATTTCTGCAGTTTAGTTTGTAGGCATGTGTCTTTCTGTCACATGGAGCTCTGATCAGTCCACCAGTTCTTCCCCTTGCTCCGCATTCCTAATGCCTGGCACCCTCTGCTGTGTCTCACCTTTATTCCATCAGGAGCTTATTAGTAGCTTTCCTGTACCAGGCCCTGCCTGACCCACCCTCCTCTCAGCTCTCACATTTAACCTTTGAAAAGACAGATCAGATCAGATCTCTCTCCTCCTTTAATTCTTTGGCTTCCCGTTGCCTACAGGATTTGGCCCAGGCTCTTTTACGTGGCATTCGGTGTCCTTCATAGCTGGGCTCTGGCTGGCCTTTCCAGTCCTGTCCATGACTATTTCTTATATGCATCTGTTTCCCTGCCAGACAAACTAGATGCCAGTTCCCAGACATGCCAACTGATTTCATCCCTTCATCCATGCTGCTCTTCCCTGTCTTTCCTCATCTTGTCAGCAGTACGATTGGCTCCTACTCCTTTAAGACCCAGTTTAGCTACCACTCTCTGTGAAGCTTTCCCAACCTCATTCCCAGCCCAAGAGAACTGTTTCTTCTTCATTCCTACCCCAACACTCCATTTGTTACAGCTCTGAATAGTTAGCATTTGTTACTTAGGTATATTATATTAAGTCGGTCTTATTTATGTAGCAAGACACCTGGCATATAATGGGCAATCAGATGTTTATTGGCAAAAGAAATTACTTATTTCTATTACTACTATAAAGATCCAAATAACCTAGATCTAAATCAGCAGCTCAAACAGAATGGGGGAGAAAGGGATAAGAAAGGTTACAAATTACCAGCTTTCCTCTCTGACCACACCAGTCCATCAGTTTGCTCTCTCCTCTTTGACCTTGCAGGTGGTGAGGAACCAGGGAAGTTGAGCCATGCCATGTTAAAAAATGGCCATACCACTCCCATAGGGAGTACCAGATCTTCTAGTCCCAAGCAAGCAGAAGAAGAGTCAGGAAGAATAGCAAGTCTTAGGAATCCTGTTCCAGAAGAGGACCCAAAGAAGCGACTAGGTAAGAACCCCTGGGTTTATGAGTGTAAGAGCCATGGATCAGTCATTTTCATTTAACTCAGAGTTTATCTAGAGCCAGGGGGAATTCTGTTCTCCTCTAGCAATTCCTTAACTAGTTGCAGCTTGAAGTGGAATTTTCCCCTTCTCATTCTTACATTCACAAAAGACCTAAATTGTGATTCTCAAAGACAGAAGAAGATGTTAAGCATCAGACACCTGTAGGAGTTTTTCAAGCTACACGTTCCTCCTCCTCCACCCATGGGATTCTGTGTCTCCTCCGGTTGCCTGGCTCTGGTGTGAAGAATCACTACTATACAAGCCTCTCTTAGTTTGAGATTGGGAATGAGAAAGTGTCATATACCTTAAGTATGTTGAGGTTGGGAAACTGCCTGTAAGTTAACTGAAGTGAAAGTTAAATAAGGGATGAAGTTGACCATAAGCCTGTAGATGTGTTAGCTTTCTCAGTCTATCTTGTGACTCTTTCTTCCCTTTTAAATCACATCTGTTAATACGCAGGCTCAACTGGAAGCCAGCCTAATTCTGAAGCAGAGTCCGTTCCTGAGAACGCACCCAGACAGCCTTTGCTTCCCCCTAAAAGACCCTTGTCCTCTTCTCACGAAGCAAATGAAGGGCAAGCAAAGGCTGCCGCTTCCTCTGGCAGCACGGCATGGCCCATCTCCTCGGCCCCCGCTGCTGCCCCCACCGCAGCACCCGCTGCCGCCCCTGCTGCCGTGAACCCAGCAAAGACTGTTGATTCCTCCGTCCCCCCGTCCCCAGCACCCAGGACTCTGCCCGCCGCTCCGGCCAGTGCGAACACTACCGCTGCCCCAAGCCTCACTCCCTCGGTCCTTGCCAAGCAGCCGCCTGTCCCTCCCCCTAAACCAGCTCACAGAAATAGCAACCCTGTCATTGGTAAGTACTTCTTTAGGTTTCCATTGCTTTGGGTTTGGTTGGGTTTGATTTTGGATGGTTGTTTTTTTGGATAATGGGTATATTGATTTGGTCTGTGAGAGTTCTCCATGTCCTGTCTCTCTGAATGCCCTCAATATAGAGAAAAGTCTTGAAAATGAGGCAGATAGTTGTGAATGAAAATGGACTAGGATCAGATAGCAATAAAATTAAGTTCCAGTTTGGAGGGGGGCATTAATATCTATTTTTCTAAAACAGTGTTTCTGAAATACTGTTTATAGTTGGGGGACTGGACATGTGAAGACCATAGCAGTTCTGACCTGCATGGAGAAAGGGGGTTATTTTAACCTACTTTAAACCGCCAATGCCTACCTTCAGCATGAACCCAACAGATAAAAAGGTGATTGGATAGATGCCAGTGTAACTTGTGATTCAGTGTCTGGCACAATACCTTCCTGCAAACTGCAAAAGATATTATTCAAAGTGTCCTGATAAAGTCATGTTTTCTCTTGGGAGACTTAAGAATAAAATAAGTGGTAGAAGAAAGAAAACCGGGAAGATAACCAGTACATTTTTATCAGTTTAGTGAATTTTTTTATATTTACCTGAAGTCCTAATTAGGTCAGCTTTTCTTTACATACATGTATACCTTCTTAGAGGAATTTTCGAGAAAGGGAGGAGAGGAAGGAAGGTAGTTTTTCAGGAAAAATGGTACTGGGCTTAGTACAGCTTGAAGTTCTTGTTCATGATTGAAGGGAGGAATAAAGTATGCTCATTAAACAGCTAATACCCCCACCTTGTGTTGGGTGACAAGAACCCTGAAAAACAGGCTTAGAATATATTGTGAGTATGGCAGGTTGGAGTAGTTTGATTAAAAAAAGGATGGAGGTTATTACGGTTATTACCACCCCAAATGGACAGTGCTGTGACTTATCTCTGAGGAACTCAAGCAGCTTTCATATACTTGCTTTCAGAACCTCCTTGTGAAGTAGGAAAGCGATTTTATCTATTATATAGTTACAGCAATTATAACACGACAAAGTTGTGACTCACTCAAGGTTGCAGTTAATTAGTGATAGAAACCAAACCTGGGCTTTTTAACTCTTGAGCCCAGACCTCTGTCCTGTATACCTGTATTCTCAAACTGCTCTCTAGACAGGTTCTTGTCACGATCACCTGGAGGGCTTGTTGAAACACAGATTGCTGGGCCCTGCCCTGAGAGTTTCTGAATCAGTAAGTCTAGGGTGGGCCTGAGAATTTGCATTTCTAAAAAGTTCCCAGATGATACTGATGCTGCATATATGGGGACCACACATTGAGAACCATTGCTCTAAACCAGTAATAGTCTACCCTTTTCAGGATAAGATAATATAAAAAATATTAATATGTGTACTGTTCTCTGCCCTAAGGTGAATAGCCCAGAGCAATAGGCCTTGTAACTGAAGGATCAACATCAGTCTTTTTTTTTTTTTTTTAAAGATTTTATTTATTTATTTGACAGAGAGAGACACAGCGAGAGAGGGAACACAAGCAGGGGGAGTGGGAGAGGG